ACAGCACCTAGCACCATGAACAGCACCCCAGACCTCTAGACAGCCCTTAGCACCATGGACAGCGCCTAGCACCATGGACAGCGCCTAGCACCATGGACAGCGCCTAGCACCATGGACAGCGCCCCAGACCTTTAGACAGCGCCTAGCACCATGGACAGCGTCTAGCACCATGGACAGCGCCTAGCACCTTGGACAGGGCCCCAGACCTCTAGACAGCGCCTAGCACCATGGACAGCGCCTAGCACCATGGACAGGGCCCCAGACCTCTAGACAGCGCCTAGCACCATGGACAGGGCCCCAGACCTCTAGACAGCGCCTAGCACCATGGACAGCGCCCCAGACCTCTAGACAGCGCTTAGCACCATGGACAGCGCCTAGCACCATGGACAGCGCACAGCAAGCAGCGCTGGTGAACAGAACGCGGACACCCAGTATAAACACCACCTCAGTGTTTAGTTTATGGGCAGTGTTGGTGCAGTGTTGAGTCTATGGGGCAGTGGTGAGTCTGTGGGCAGTGGTGAGTCTATGGGCAGTGGTGAGTCTATGGGCAGTGGTGAGTCTATAGGCAGCAGTGAGTGTTGGTGCAGTGGTGAGTCTATGGGCAGTGGTGAGTATGGGCAGTGGTGAGTCTATGGGCAGTGGTGAGTCTATGGGCAGTGGTGAGTGAATGGGCAGTGGTGAGTGTTGGTGCAGTGTTTAGTCTATGGGCAGTGTTGAGTCTATGGGCAGTGTTGAGTCTATGGTGCAGTGGTGAGTGTTGGTGCAGTGTTTAGTCTATGGGCAGTGTTGAGTCTATGGGCAGTGTTGAGTCTATGGTGCAGTGGTGAGTGTTGGTGCAGTGTTGAGTCTATGGGCAGCGTTGGTGAGTCTGTGGTGCAGTGTTGTGTGCATGTTGAACGTCTTTCGCACCGATACATTAAAGAGGAGCCACAGTGGTGCGTTTGTGACCGTGCAAACCCAAGCCGATGGACTTATGGCATGCGCCGCGTCATCAGCATCGGACTGTGTGTTCATACCGCAGGAGAAATCCGATTATCTATAACCCCCCCCCCCCCAGCCCATGGAGGTGGAGTGGGGATAGCGAACAATGAAACTGAACTCTTTTTATTTTTCGCCCGCACGTTTTGAATCCTGCGCCGCTGCGTCAAAATGATGCGCCGTGCGGCTAACGGGGTTGTAAAAAAAAAACGGTGTGTGTGCGCGTGCTTTTGAAAGAGCACCGATCTTGCTTGCTGCTGCTGCTGCTCCTGTGTGTCATCCCGGCGGAGTGATTTGGGGCAAATATTTTATTCAGCTGTTGGGGATGCCTTCGTCGGTACGTCTTGCATTGTGTTTGTGGGGGGTTTTTTCAACGGGTTTTTTTAACCACACCCGTATTTGCCGTGGTCGAAACTTGTCATCTGAAAGTGCCGCCGGGCTCCCCTCCCCCCCCCCTCCCCCCCCCCCCCCCCCCAAGCGGCACGGGGGGCCTCTCCCTGTGCCGTGCGTGAGTCGCAGCTCCTAGCACGAGGCTTGAGCCGTGCGTCTGTTCAGAGACGCACACGGACAAAGATCTTCCCCCGTGTAGCCTCTTAACATACCGCAGGGGCAAGTGCTGTTAGTAGCAAGCAGCAACAGCAGCAGCAGCAGCAGCGCCTGCGAAGGCTACCGGCACTGTGGCACACGAGGGGGTGGGTGGCTACCAGCAACGCGCCCGCCCAGCCGCCTTTGTCTCCCCCGGTGGCGACGTTTGCCACACACCGCACCGGGTACTCATTTGAGGGCCGAGTCTACCTAGGGGGAAGGCCAGGACCGGTTCAGATAATCGTCGCCGGTGTTGGCCGTGAGAGGGGTTGGAATCGGAAGTCGTAGCGCAACGCAGCGCTAACCGCTGCGCCACCGCTCCCAACCACGTCTGTTCAGCACGCGCACGCACGCACGCACACGCACACACACGCGCCTTGTTTGTCCAGCCGGATGTGTGTGTGTGTGTGCGTGCGTGTGCGTCTATGGGCAGTTTTGAGTCTATGGTGCAGTGTTGAGTCTATGGGCAGTGTTGAGTCTATGGTGCAGTGTTGAGTCTATGGTGCAGTGTTGAGTCTGGGCAGTGTTGAGTCTATGGGCAGTGTTGAGTCTATGGTGCAGTGTTGAGTCTGTGGTGCAGTGTTGAGTCTATGGTGCAGTGTTGAGTCTGTGGTGCAGTGTGGAGTTTATGGGGCAGTGTTGAGTCTATGGTGCAGTGTTGAGTCTATGGTGCAGTGTTGAGTCTATGGGCAGTGTGGAGTTTGTGGGTAGTGTTGTGTCTGTGGGCAGTGTTGAGTCTATGGTGCAGTGTTGAGTCTATGGTGCAGTGTTGAGTCTGTGGTGCAGTGTTGAGTCTATGGTGCAGTGTTGAGTCTGTGGTGCAGTGTTGAGTCTGTGGTGCAGTGTTGAGTCTGTAGGTCTCTACGTGTGTGAGTGTTGAACTTCTTTTGCACTGTACGCAGCCAGCCGCGCTAATCGGAGGTGCCGGGGGAAGGGCAACAAACTGAATGTGTACATATAGGGTCGGTCAAAACACAATTAACACATAGTCTGGCTGATTAAGTTATTTCAGTTATTTAAAACACAATTAACACATAGTCTGGCTGATTAAGTTATTTAAAATAATTAAGTTATTTAACTTAATCAGCCAGACTATGCGTTAATTGTGTTTTGACCGACCCTCTGTGCTGCATTATGTTCTTTCCAAAATTTTACTGAATCTTGTCCAATATGATGTGCTTCTCCATCTCTCTGTGTTTCCTCTCTATTAAATGTAGCCCTTCTATACCTGATGATGATTGCTTGCGTTGCAATCGAAAGGTCGCATGCTATTATGTAATTTTATTTCATTATTATTTCTTATTTCTACGTGGTGACTTTACCGAGAAAACCAAAGAGTAATTCCTGCAGTCACGAAAGCACCAAATCAAGTTGAATGTGTACATCTCTCTGTCTCTCTCTCTCTCGGTATTGAAACCATGCACTCTTGTATACCAGGGGAGGTAGGTAACATCTCGCCAACACAACGCCCATCTGCTGATCATCTCAATCGGTCAGCACATTGCGCCTGGATGCCTCCCGCGACCAGTGACGTGCCGTGTGAGGTCAATGGCTGGGAAGGCACTGGCACGTGTCGGAGCAAGATTCACACACTGAGGGGGGGGGGCGTGGCCTCACCGAGGGGGCGTGGCCTCACTGAAGGGGGGCGCGGCCTCACTGAAGGGGGCGTGGCCTCGCTGAAGGGGATGTGGCCTCACTGAAGGGGGCGTGGCCTCACTGAAGGGGGCGTGGCCTCACTGAAGGGGGCGTGGCCTCACTGAAGGGGGCGTGGCCTCGCTGAGGGGGGGCGTGTTAGACACGTCCCCCCCCCAGTGAGGCAGATGTGATAGCTGCCTCCGCCGGTGCTTTTTCATTGCGGTTTCATGACGAGACCAGCGAGCCTAAATATCTTTATACACAATACGTGAAATAAGTTACCTGGAGTATGGAAGGCGAGGACATGAAATGAAGGGGCCTACCATCATCACATTGGTGACACACTGAGATGGTAACGGGCACGCGCTTATTGCCCGCGCTCCATCCGGCTACTGAGGTGTTGGCCAATCAGAGGGGAGGCTGAGCTCGCCGCTGCCTCACCTCTCGTCTCTTCCAGTATTTGCAGCGGAGCTCCGCAAATTTTGGCGATTTTTGACTCTAAAAATTATTGGAATCGTACGGAAATGACATAACTCAGATGCTGGGTCTGTCCCGTGACCTCCTCCTGCACCTTGCCTGGCACAGCAGTCAACCCATGGCACCTGCTGAGTCTGTCCCGTGACCTCCTCCTGCACCTAGCCTGGCACAGCAGTCAACCCATGGCACCTGCTGGGTCTGCCCCGTGACCTCCTGCACCCAGCCTGGCACAGCAGTCACCCCATGGCACCTGCTGGGTCTGTCCCGTGACCTCCTCCTGCCAGCAAGCGAGCCTTCGACACTTCACGTGACGGCCTCAGAGTGCACCTAGCCTGGCACAGGCGCCGTGGTGATGTCACCGCCACTTTTAGTGACGAAGGGCGGCTGTTGTCATTGTTGTGGTGTGTGGGTGAGTGCGTGGATGACGTGTGTGGGTGGGTGTGCGGATGACGTGTGTGGGTGACGTGTGTGGGTGAGTGTGTGGATGACGTGTGTGGGCGAGTGTGTGGATGACGTGTGTGGGTGAGTGTGTGGATGACGTGTGTGGGCGAGTGTGTGGATGACGTGTGTGGGCGAGTGTGTGGATGACGTGTGTGGGCGAGTGTGTGGATGACGTGTGTGGGCGAGTGTGTGGATGACGTGTGTGGGCGAGTGTGTGGATGACGTGTGTGGGCGAGTGCGCGTATGACGTGTGTGGGTGAGTGCGCGGATGACGTGTGTGGGTGAGTGCGCGGATGACGTGTGTGGGCGAGTGTGCGGATGACGTGTGTGGGCGAGTGTGTGGATGACGTGAGTGTGTAGGTGAGTGTGCGGATGACGTGTGTGGGCGAGTGTGCGGATGACGTGTGTGGGCGAGTGTGTGGATGACGTGTGTGGGCGAGTGTGCGGATGACGTGTGTGGGTGAGTGTGTGGATGACGTGTGTGGGCGAGTGTGCGGATGACGTGTGTGGGCGAGTGTGTGGATGACGTGAGTGTGATGGCCATTATCTGAATCGGTTCTGGGCCCTGCCTTGCGTCGACTCAGCCTTACGAGTACCTTTTGCGGTGTAGTGTCGTAAACGTCGCCACCGGGGAGACAAAGGCGGCCGGGCTTGGTGCTTGTAGCCACCCCACCCACCTCGTGCACCACGGTGCCGGTAGCCTTCACAGGCGCTGCTGCTCCACGCGACTAAACAGCACTTGCCCCGACATTCGGATTTCAGGCTACACGGGGCAGACCTTTGCCTTTGTGTGCGGGGCACGTGTTGTGGGAGCTACGCCGGGAGCTTTGTCTGTAACCTTCCTGTGCCCCCGCCCCCCACCTCCCCCCGTGTTTGTCTTCCAGGCGAACCCGCCGCCCATCATCGTGAACACGGACAACATGGACCCCTCGGCATACGTGAGTGTCACTCGGCCCTGTTGTGTCACTGACCACGTGCGTGAGTGTCACGCGGCCCTGTTGTGTCACTGTCCACGTGCGTGGGTGTCACACGGCCCTGTTGTGTCACTGTCCACGTGCGTGAGTGTCACTCGGCCCTGTTGTGTTACTGTCCACGTGCGTGAGTGTCACTCGGCCCTGATGTGTCACTGTCCACGTACGTGAGTGTCACACAGCCCTGTTGTGTCACTGTCCACGTGCGTGAGTGTCACACGGCCCTGTTGTGTTACTGGTCACGTGCGTGAGTGTCACAGCCCTGTTGTGTTACTGTCCCCGTGCGTGAGTGTCATGCGGCCCTGTTGTGTCACTGTCCACGTGCGTGAGTGTCACACAGCCCTGTTGTGTCACTGTCCACGTGCGTGAGTGTCACACGGCCCTGTTGTGTCACTGACCACGTGCGTGGGTGTCACTCAGCCCTGTTGTGTTACTGTCCACGTGAGTGTCACACGGCCCTGATGTGTCACTGTCCACGTGCGTGAGTGTCACTCGGCCCTGTTGTGTCACTGACCACGTGCGTGAGTGTCACGCGGCCCTGTTGTGTCACTGTCCACGTGTGTGAGTGTCACACAGCCCTGTTGTGTCACTGTCCACGTGCGTGAGTGTCACACGGCCCTGTTGTGTCACTGTCCACGTGCGTGAGCATCACACTGCCCTGTTGTGTCACTGTCCACGTGCGTGAGTGTCACTCGGCCCTGATGTGTCACTGTCCACGTACGTGAGCATCACACAGCCCTGTTCTGTCACTGTCCACGTGTGTGAGTGTCACACAGCCCTGTTGTGTTACTGTCCACGTGCGTGAGTGTCACACAGCCCTGTTGTGTTACTGTCCACGTGTGTGAGTGTCACACAGCCCTGATGTGTCACTGGCCACGTGCGTGAGTGTCACAGCCCTGTTGTGTTACTGGCCACGTGCGTGAGTGTCACTCAGCCTTGTTGTGTCACTGGCCACGTGTGTGAGTGTCACACATCCCTGTTGTGTCACTGGCCACGTGTGTGAGTGTCACTCGGCCCTGTTGTGTCACTGGCCACGTGTGTGAGTGTCACACAGCCCTGATGTGTCACTGGCCACGTGCGTGAGTGTCACAGCCCTGTTGTGTTACTGGCCACGTGCGTGAGTGTCACACAGCCCTGTTGTGTTACTGTCCACGTGCATGTCACTCAGCCCTGTTGTGTTACTGTCCACGTGCGTGGGTGTCACACAGCTCTGTTGTGTCACTGTCCACGTGCGTGAGTGTCACACGGCCCTGTTGTGTCACTGTCCACGTGCGTGAGTGTCACAGCCCTGTTGTGTCACTGGGGACGTGCGTGGGTGTCACTCAGCCCTGTTGTGTCACTGTCCACGTGCGTGGTGATGATGATGATGACAGCGCGTCATCTCAGTGTGTGGCTGGTATCATCATCGCCCCGTAGAGACACGCAGAGATGCACACAGATACATAGAGACACATAGAGACACATAGAGACACGTGTTACAGCAACACCGTCACTAGTACAGCAACACCGGTGTGTTGGAGGGACAAGCCACAACATTTACAATCTGAGTACGATGTTTCGCCAGTAATTACAGCTGTCGTGTTTACCTCCGTGTTACACTATCGTGTCTGTTGTTTGCGACTGTCTGACTTTCTGGCTCCCCGTGGTCCTCTACTGGACTATCTGTGAATTAAAGAGCTTCATAGCTCATCGGATTACTCCTCCTGCAGTGTAAATACGTCGCTGTAATCCGTCTCTGTGCGTGTTTGTGTGCGTTGCCAGATGAACGGAGCAGAACTGGAGTTTGAGTACGAAGAGATCACCCTGGAGAGGGTAAGAGAACGCTTGTGTGTGTGTGTGCACGTGTGTGTGTGTGCACTTGTGTGTGTGCGCGTGTGTGTGTGTGCACGTGTGTGTGTGTGTGTGCACGTGTGTGTATGTGCACATGTGTGTGTGTGTGCACGTGTGTGTGTGCGTGTGTGTGTGTGCGTGTGTGTGTGTGTGCACGTGTGTGTGTGTGCACGTGTGTGTGTGCACGTGTGTGTGTGCACGTGTGTGTGCACGCATATGTGTGTGTGTGCGCGCATATATGTGTGTGTGTGCACGTGTGTGTGTGTGTGTGCACGTGTGTGTGTGTGTGTGCACGTGTGTGTGTGCACGTGTGTGTGTGTGTGCACGTGTGTGTGTGTGTGCACGTGTGTGTGTGTGTGTGCACACGTGTGTGTGTGTGTGCACACGTGTGTGTGTGTGTGCACGTGTGCGTGTGTGTGTGTGCGCACGTGTGCATGTGTGTGTGCGCACGTGTGCATGTGTGTGTGCGCACGTGTGTGTGGGTGTACACGTGTGTGTGTGTTGAACCCGGCGACACGAGTTTGATTCCCGCTCATGGCCAACACCGGTGACGATTATCTGAACCGGTGCTGGGCCTCCCCTAGGTCAACTCAGACTCAAATGAAAACCTGGTGCGGTGTGTAGTAAACATCGCCACTGGGGAGACAAAGGCGGTCGGGCGTGGTGCTGGCCACCCACCCCCTCGTGTACCGTGCTGGCCTTCATAGGTGCTGCTCGCTAACAGCACTTGCCCCGACAGTCTGTTAAGGCTATATGGGGGTTCTTTGTATTTTGCGTGTATCTCTGTCTTTGTGCATGTGTGTGTGCGAGTGTGTGTGCGCGAGTGTGTGCGAGTATGTGTGTGCATGTGTGTACGTGCGTGCGTGTGTGTGTGCGTGTGTGTACGTGCGTGTGTGTACGTGTGTGTGCATGCGTGTGTGCGTGCGTGTGTGCATCCGTGTGTGTGATTGCGTGTGTGTGTGCGCGTGTGTGCGTGTGTGTGTGTGCGCGTAGCTGGCATAGTAGGGGCGCACGGGTGCTGCATCTGCCGTACATCTCAGTCAGCCAACCCATATGTGTGTGTGTTTGTGTCTGTGAGTTTACGTGCGTGTGTGGCCATGAGCGTGTGTTGTCTGGCAGTAAGCGTGCATGCAGGGTGTAGTAGTGTATAGTGTAGGGTAGAGTAGTGTATAGTGCAGTGTGTAGGGTCGAGTCGTGAATAGTGTAGTATATAGTGGTGTGTGGTAGTGCATAGCGTATAGCGTATCGTGTAGCGTATAGTGTAGTCAATATCGTAGTCTATAGCGTAGTGTATAGTGTAGTGTGTAGTGTATAGCGTAGTGTGTAGTGTATAGCGTAGTGTATAGCGTAGTGTATAGCGTATAGTGTAGTCAATATCGTAGTCTATAGCATAGTGTAAAGCGTAGTGTATAGCGTACCGTGTACGCTATGACAATGATGATGATGATGATGTCGATGATGATGATTATGACGTCGACGATGATGATGATGATGATGATGACGACGGTGTCGATGATGATGATTACGGTGATGATGATGATGATGATGACGACGACGGTGTCGATGATGATGACGGCGGTGACGATGATGATGACGGCGGTGACGATGATGATGATGACAACGCTGACGATGGTGTGTTGACGATGGTGTGATGACGATGATGACGACGACGGAGGAGGTTACAGTGCCGCGCCTCGCTCTCGCAGGGTAACTCTGGCCTGGGCTTCAGCATAGCGGGCGGTACGGACAACCCCCACATAGGGGACGACCCCAGCATCTTCATCACCAAGATCATCCCCGGGGGAGCGGCCGCTCAGGATGGACGACTCAGGTGAGAGAGAGAGTGTGAGAGAGTGTGAGAGTGTGAGAGTGAGAGAGAGAGTGTGAGTGTGAGAGAGAGAGTGTGAGTGTGAGCAAGAGTGAGTGAGAGTGAGCGAGAGTGAATGTGAGAGCGAGAGTGTGCGAGTGTGAGCGAGAGAGTGTGTGAGTGTGAGCGAGTGTGTGAGGGTGAGCGAGAGTGTGTGAGTGTGAGCGAGAGAGTGTGAGTGTGAGCGAAAGTGTGTGAGGGTGAGCGAGAGTGTGAGGGTGAGTGAGTTTAAGAGAGAGTGTGAGGGTGTGTGAGGGTAAGCGAGAGTGTGCGAGTGAGGGTGAGCGAGAGTGAGCGAGAGTGTGTGAGTGTGAGCGAGAGAGTGTGAGGAGGTAGGGGGTTGTTTTGCCAGACAGAAACAACAAAAAGCCACTACGGATGGCGACGTGGAATGTTCGAACGCTCACTGCGGAGGAGAGGCTGCCACTCCTCTTTCGGGTGCTGGACCGGTACCGCCTGGATCTCTGTGGCATTCAAGAGGTCCGGTGGACCAGCTCTGGCTCCTGCCACCATGAGGGGTGGACAGTCCTCTACTCGGGGCAGGAGACTGCCAAACAACAGGGAGTGGCTCTTCTTCTAAACAAAATAATAGAGGGGGCGTGGGAGCGTGGCGGTGAGGTATGGGATGCTGGAAGCCCCAGGCTACTTTGGGCTCGCCTCCCCATCAACCGGAGGCGAGGAGTGGTGGTTGTGGTTACTTATGTCCCCACCGAAGACGAACATCCGTGGAGGGATGCAGGCAAGGCTGATAAGTCAGATGCCTTCTATGACCTCCTGTCACAGGTGCTGGCTAAAGTGGCACCTCGGGATAGTCATCTTGTTGGGTGACTTCAATGACCAAGTTGGTCATGATGCTGGCACCTGGTCTGGAGTGATTGTAAGGCATGGGCCAGATCAGCTCAATAACAACGGTAGGAGGCTGCTAGATTGTTGTGCAGCCCATGGGCTTGTAATTACCAATACGCTGTTCTGGAATCGGCGCATCCACACAACATCATGGATGCATGCCTGGTCCAAGCAAGAACATCTGCTGGACTACATAGTGAAAGACCAGCGGATGCGAGCCCATGTCCTTAACACCAGGACCTACCGTGGAGCTGATCTGCCCTCTGACCATCGACTTGTCATCTGTAAGATGCGCCTGCCATTCTTCCACTCTGGTAGTGGGTATACACCCAGGACCCCATTCAAATCTAAGGTGGCCTGGTCTCAGCTAGCTGATGAAAGTTGCAAGCGAGAATTTCATCATCGCTTGTGGCTGGGGTTGGCATCGTCCCCCACTCCTGATGTCGAGGGTAAATGGGCGAGGTTTAGGACTGTGGCTAATGCAGCTGCAATGGCTGCTTTGGGTATGCGGTCCAGACCTCCCCAGAGACCCTGGCTGACAGAGGAGGTGTTCAGGATGCTTGAGAAAAAGCGACAGGCCCATTATAATCGTCTACAGCATCCCACGTCGGCGAATGAGGAGGCTTACCACAGCCTTCGCTCGGAGGTTCGGAGAGCCGTGAGGCGCTGCAAGGATGGGTGGTGGTCGCGGGTTGCTGATGAGATGGAGTCTGTCTCAACGGCCCGCGATCACAAATCCCTATTTAACTCCATCAAAAAAGTTACCTGCAGCGCCACACCTATAACCATCATTAGGGGAAAGAACGGTGATCCAATCTCCGACCCCGAGGAACAGGTTTGCAGATTTTATGAGCATTTCTGTGAGGTCCTGGGGGAGGAAAAATCCCTCAGCCTGGAAAACACCGTGGGACAAAGTGGGGATGACCCTGCTGAGGCTGCAGTGCCTCAAATATTGGAGGAAGTCACCCCCTGTGAGTGGCATGCTGAGGTGCCATCTGTTGAGGAAGTACTGAAGGCGATCCGGAGTCCTGAGACCAGGAAAGGCACCGGGCAGAGATGTCTCCCAAGCGAAATGCTGAGGGAGGGTTGCATTTGTGCGCAGACTGCCCTACATGACATCATAACAACAGTCTGGGCCACTGGATGGGTTCAGCATGATTGGAAGGATGCTCTAGTGGTCCCCCTTTTTAAGAAGGGGGGACCGCACAGACTGTAACAATTACAAGGGCATCTCACTCCTCAGTGTGCCGGGAAAGGTCCTGGCAAGAATTATTCAACATCGCCTTGCCAGGCACGCTGAGGGGAGGCTTGCGGAGCCCCAATGCGGTCCTGCACAGATGCCATATTTTCTGTCCGTCTGCTACAGCAGAGGTGTAGGGAATTCCAGCAAGACGTACATCTCTGCTTTATTGACCTGGTCAAGGCCTAAGATACCATCAGTAGGCCAGGGCTCTGAGTTGTTCTTCGTGCTTTTGGAGTCCCTGACCCTCTGCTCACAATCATTAAGGACCTTCATGATGGTGAGCGGGCCCAGGTAAAACTACGTGGCCGGGAGTCAGAGCCATTCCCTGTACACCTTGGGGTTCGACAGGGATGTCCTCTGGCTCCCACATTATTTAACATCTATTTTGACCACGTAGTTCGTGAAGCCTTCAATAGCTGTACCGGGGGAATCTCCATTTGGTACAGATATAATGGGAGGCTGATCGATGCCCGGGTGCGGTCAAGGGATGGCTCCCTATTGCTCAACCACGTTATGTTTGCCGATGATTTGGTAATAGCTGCTCATTCCGAGGGGGAGTTGGAGGCGCTGCTGCTGAAACTGGAGCGTGCCACTAAGAGATGGGACCTTACCATCAGCCCCACCAAAACTAAGCACCTGCCTGGGTATTTTGTACCATCGAACACTCCACCCCCACAACTCCCAATTGGTGATAGGGCAGTTGTGGAGAGGGTGGAGAGTTTCCCATACCTGGGCAGTGTGCTCATGACCGGCTCCAGTTTGACAGCAGAGGTCTCACTACGAGCGGCAATATATTTTCATCGGTTGCGTAACGCTGTGTGGAAGCTACCTGGTCTCTCACTCCGCTCGAAGCTTCAGGTCTTCTCGGCCACGGTCATTCCCTCCCTCTCTACGCTTGCGAAAGTGGACCCCCGTAATGGAACATCTTCGACGGTTAGAAACATTTAGGCTGGCCTGCCTACGATCCATCCTGGGTTTAACCAGGCTGGGTTGTGTGAGGAGCTCACAAATCCTTGAAAGATCTGGGCAAGGTCCCATCGGTGTGCTCCTCCGGCAGGCAAGGCTGCGTTGGCTGGGTCATGTAGCCCGCATGCCCAGCCTCCGCATGCCGAAACAGCTTTTGTTCGGCCAGATAAAGGGGGCTAAATGGGCGCGGCATGGGCTAGAGAGGAGATTGAGTGACGTGGTACAGGAGGACATGGAGCTGAGTGGACTTGCCGATGACTGGTACCAGCGGTGTCAAGATCGGCCTCTGTGGAGGAGGCTCGTGAAGGATGCTACTGGGCAGTTGGAGGCAGTCGCCCTCCAACAACAACGGAGGGCGGAGGAGCGACGCTCACAACAACGAGCGGAGCGCCGGGTGGCTAAAGCACAGCAGGTTGGCACAGTAGGGGGCACAGGTGGTGCATCAGCCAGTCATCTCAGTCAGTCGACCCGTGGCACCTGGGTCTGCCCCGTGACCTCCTGCCGGCGGGCGTTCGACACTCCGCGTGGCCTCAAGGTGCACATGGCCCGGCACAAGCGTCGTGGTGACGTCACCGCCACTTAGTGGCGAATGGCGGTTGTTGTTGCCGTTGTTGTGCGTCCCCCCCAGAGTGAACACCGTTCCTGCGCGTGAACGGTGTTTATACGACGTGCGTGTGCGTGCGTGTGTGTGCGTGCGTGTGCGTGTGTGTGCGTGCGTGTGCGTGCGTGTGCGTGCGTGCGCGTGTGTGTGCGTGCGTGTGCGTGTGTGTGCGTGCGTGTGCGTGCGTGCGCGTGCGTGCGTCGCCACGCAGGGTCAACGACTGCATCCTGCGCGTGAACGAGGCCGACGTGCGTGAGGTCGCCCACAGCCGAGCCGTGGAGGCGCTCAAGGAGGCGGGCGCCATCGTGCGTCTCTACGTGAGGCGACGCCGGCCGGCCGGGGAGACGCTCGCCGAGATCAAGCTCGTGAAGGGGCCCAAAGGTTGGGTGGACTCGCTCACTAGCGCGCGTACACACACACGCTCGTACACACACACACACTCGTGTATATATACACTCGTGTGTATATATACACGAGTGTATATATACACTCATACACACACACTCGTGTATATACACTCGTGTATATATATATACTCATATATATACACACACTCATATACACACACACTCGTGTATATACACTTGTGTGTATATATATACTCATATACACTCACACACACTCATATATACACACTCCTATATATACATATACAAAGATCCCCCGTGTAACCTGAATAGACTGTAGGGGCAAGTGTTGCTAGCGAGCGCCTATGAAGGCCGGAACGGTACACCAGGGGGTGGGTGGCCAGCACCATGCCCGACCGCTTTTGTCTCCCGAGTGGCGATGTTTACACACAGCACCAGGTACTCATTTGAGGCTGAGTCGACCTAGGGGAGGCCCCGGGACCAGTTCAGATAATCGTCACTGGTGTTGGCCGTGAGCGAGACTCGAACTGGGTCGCCGGGTTCGTAGCGCAGTGTAGCGCTAACCACTACAGCACCGCTCCCCACATATATTCACAAACATATACAACAACAACAACCGCCATTCGCCACTAAGTGGCGGTGACGTCACCACGACGCTTGTGCCAGGCCATGTGCACCTTGAGGCCACGTGAAGTGTCGAATGCCCGCTGGCAGGAGGTCACCGGGCAGACCCAAGTGCCACGGGTCGACTGACTAAGATGACTGAGATGACTGGCTGATGCACCATCTGTGCCCCCTACTGTGCCAACCTGCTGTGCTTTAGCCACCCGGAGCTCCGCTCGTTGTTGTGAGCGTCGCTCCTCCGCCCTCTGTTGTTGTTGGAGGGCGACTGCCTCCAACTGCCCAGTAGCGTCCTTCACGAGCCTCCTCCACAGAGGCCGATCTTGACACCGCTGGTACCAGTCATAGGCAAGTCCACTCAGCTCCACGTCCTCCTGTGTACCACGTCACTCCATCTCTTCTCTAGCCCGTGCCGCGCCCATTTAGCCCCCTCGATCCGGCCGAACAAAAGCTGTTTTGGCATGCGGTGGCTGGGCATGCGGGCTACATGGCCCAGCCAACGCAGCCTTGCCTGCCGGAGGAGCTCACCGATAGGACTTTGCCCAGATCTTTCAAGGATTTGTGAGCTCCTCACACAATCCAGCCTGGTTAAACCCAGGATGGATCATAGGCAGGCTAGCCTAAATGTTTCTAACCGGCGAAGATGTTCCATTAGGGGGGGTCCACGTTTCGCAAGCGTAGAGAAGGGAGGGAATGACCGTGGCCGAGAAGACCTGAAGCTTAGTGCGGAGCGACAGACCGGGTAGCTTCCACACAGCGTTACGCAACCGATGAAAAGATATTGCTGCTCGACTGATTTGGAGTGAGACCTCTGCTGTTAAACTGGAGCCGGTCATAAGCACACTGCCCAGGTATAGGAAACTCTCCACTCTCTCCACAACTGCCCCATCACCGATTGGGAGTTATGGGGGTGGAGTGTCCGATAGTACAAAATACCCAGGCAGGTGCTTAGTTTTGGTGGGGCTGATGGTAAGGCCCCATCGCTTAGTGGCATGCTCCAGTCTCAGCAGCAGCGTCTCCAACTCTTCCTTTGAATGAGCAGCTATTACCAAATCATCGGCATACATAACGTGGTTGAGCAATAGGGAGCCATCCCTTGACCCACACCCAGGCATCGATCAGCCTCCCATTATATCTGTACCAAATGGAGATTCCCCCAGTACAGCTATTGAAGGCTTCACGAACTACGTGGTCAAAATAGATGTTAAATAATGTGGGAGCCAGAGGACATCCCTGTCGCACCCCAAGGTGTACAGGGAATGGCTCTGACTCCCGGCCATGTAGTTTTACCCGGGCCCGCTCACCATCATGAAGGCCCTTAATGATCGTGAGCAGAGGGTCAGGGACTCCAGAAGCACGAAGAACAACCCAGAGCCCTGGCCTACTGATGGTATCATAGGCCTTGACCAGGTCAATAAAGCAGAGATGTAGGTCTTGCTGGAATTCCCTACACCTCTGCTGTTGCAGACGGACAGAAAATGTGGCATTTGTGCAGGACCGCCCTTTCCTGAAACCGCATTGGGGCTCCGCAAGCCTCTCCTCAACGTGCCTAGCAAGGCGATGTTGAATAATCCTTGCCAGGACCTTTCCCGGCACACTGAGGAGTGAGATGCCCCTGTAGTTGTTACAGTCTGTGCGGTCTCCCTTCTTAAAGAGGGGGACCACCAGGGCATCCTTCCAATCCCGGGGAACCCGTCCAGTGGTCCAGACTGTTGTTATGATGTCATGTAGGGCAGTCTGTGCACAAACGCCACCCTCCCTCAGCATTTCGCTTGGGAGATCATCTCTGCCCGGTGCCTTTCCTGGTCTCAGACTCCAGATCGCCTTCAGTACTTCCTCAACAGATGGCACCTCAGCCTGCCACTCACAGGGGGTGACTTCCTCCTCCAATATTTGAGGCACCGCAGCCTCAGCAGGGTCATCCCCACTTTGTGCCACGATGTTTTCCTGGCTGAGGGATTTTCCCTCCCCCAGGACCTCACAGAAATGCTCAGCAAATCTGCAAACCTGTTCCTGGGGGTCGGAGATTGGATCACCGTTTTTTCCCCTAATGATGGTAATAGGTGTGGCGCTGCAGGTTACTTTTTTGATGGAGTTAAATAGAGATTTGTGATCGCGGGCCATTGTGGCAGACTCCATCTCCTCAGCAACCCGCGACCACCACCCATCCTTGCAGCGCCTCACGGCTCTTCGAACCTCCGAGCGAAGGCTGCGGTAAGCCTCCTCATTCTCTGACGTGGGATTCTGTGGCCGATGACAGTGGGCCTGTCGCTTTTTCTCAACTATCCTGAACACCTCCTCTGTCAGCCAGGGTCTCTGGGGAGGTCTGGACCGCGTACCCAAAGCGGCCATTGCAGCTGCATGAGTCACAGTCCTAAACCTCGCCCGTTTACCCTCGACATCAGGAGGAGTGGGGAACGATGCCAACCCCAGCCGCAAGCGATGATGAAATTCCCGCTTGCAGCTTTCATCAAATAACTGACCAGGTCACTTTAGGTTGGAATGGGGTCATGGGTGTACACCCATCACCGGAGTGGGTAAATGGGAGGCGCATCTTACAGATGAATAGTCGATGGTCAGAGGGCAGATCAGCTCCATGGTAGGTCCTGGTGTCAAGGACATGGGCTCGCATCCGCTGGTCCGTCACTATGTAGTCCAGCAGATGTTCTTGCTTGGACCCGGCATGCATCCATGATGTTGTTTGGATGCGCCGATGCCGGAACAGCGTGTTGGTCATTACAAGCCCATGGACTGCACAGAAATCTAGCAGCCTCCTTATTGAGCTGATCTAGCCCATGCCCTCCAATCACTCCAGGTGCCACTTTAGCCAGCACCTGTGACAGGTCATAGAAGGCATCTGACTCATCGGCTTTGCCTGCATCCCTCCACGGATGTTTGTCTTCGGTGGGGGCATAAGTAACCACGACCACCACTTCTTGCCTCCGGTTGATGGGAAGGCGAGCCCAAAGTAGCCTGGGGCTTACAGCTTCCCACACCTCACCGCCACGCTCCCACGCACCCTTCATTCTTTTGTTCAAAAGAAGAGCCACACCCTGTTGTTTGGCAGTCTGCTGCCTCGCTCTGAGTTCACGACGCAAACCCCTCGCTCCTGGTTCACGACACAAACCCCTCGCTCGTAGTTCACGACGCAAACCCCTCGCTCCGAGTTCACGACACAAACCCCTCGCTCATAGTTCACGACACAAACCCCTCGCTCCGAGTTCACGACACAAACCCTCGCTCGTAGTTCACGACGCAAACCCCTCGCTCCTAGTTCACGACACAAACCCCTCGCTCATAGTTCACGACACAAACCCCTCGCTCCGAGTTCACGACACAAACCCCTCGCTCATAGTTCACGACACAAACCCCTCGCTCCGAGTTCACGACACAAACCCTCGCTCATAGTTCACGACACAAACCCCTCGCTCTGAGTTCACGACGCAAACCCCTCGCTCCTAGTTCACGACACAAACCCTCGCTCATAGTTCACGACACAAACCCTCGCTCGTAGTTCACGACGCAAACCCTCGCTCATAGTTCACGACGCAAACCCCTCGCTCCTAGTTCACGACACAAACCCTCGCTCGTAGTTCACGACACAAACCCTCGCTCGTAGTTCACGACGCAAACCCTCGCTCATAGTTCACGACACAAACCCCTCGCTCCTAGTTCACGACACAAACCCTCGCTCGTAGTTCACGACACAAACCCCTCGCTCGTAGTTCACGACGCAAACCCCTCGCTCGTAGTTCACGACGCAAACCCCTCGCTCATAGTTCACGACACAAACCCCTCGCTCCTAGTTCACGACACAAACCCCTCGCTCCTAGTTCACGACGCAAACCCTCGCTCATAGTTCACGACACAAACTCCTATCTCCTAGTTCATGACGCAAACCCTCGCTCGTAGTTCACGACTCAAACCCCTCGCTCCTAGTTCACGACACAAACCCCTCGCTCCTAGTTCACGACACAAACCCCTCGCTCCTAGTTCACGACTCAAACCCCTCGCTCCTAGTTCACGACGCAAACCCTCGCTCATAGTTCACGACACAAACTCCTATCTCCTAGTTCATGACGCAAACCCTCGCTCGTAGTTCACGACTCAAACCCCTCGCTCCTAGTTCACGACACAAACCCTCGCTCGTAGTTCACGACACAAACCCTCGCTCCTAGTTCACGACACAAACCCCTCGCTCCTAGTTCATGACACAAACCCTCGCTCATAGGTCAAGACACAAACCCTCGCTCCTAGTTCACGACACAAACCCTCGCTCCTAGTTCACGACACAAACCCCTCGCTCCTAGTTCACGACACAAACCCCTCGCTCCTCGTTCACGACACAAACCCTCGCTCATAGTTCACGATGCAAACCCTCGCTCAGAGTTC